ACATGATTGCAGCGAGAGCTACAGCGGGGCCTGCGTATGTAGCGTCGATTCCGCCTGACGTTGCAGATGGCAGGACTCCGCGGGGCGAGCTGCGTGCAGCAAACGGGTCGGCTGCGCTGAGCGAGCACATGCAAGGAAAGCCAGGCGTGCAAGGATCACGCGCGCGCACACACAGGCGCGGCCCGCCCGCCCACGCGCCGCAGCACGCGCGCACGCACGCGTGCAGCGGCGCACGCGGCATTGCTTCTCCCCCTTGCTCGGCCTCGCCCTCGCGCACCCCCCTCTCGTCGGGCGATGAGAAGTGTTCACGTGCACCGCTGCTGGCCAGGCCCATTCTGGGCTCGGGGCAGGCCTGGGCCCAGGATCGCTGCACGTACGTCTTTCTCCCGAGTCACCCGCGGGGGCGCGAAGGTGATCGCGCTTCGCCCGTCGCGGCCTGGGCCAGATCAGCCGCCGTTCTCCAAGGCGGCTCCGCGAGTGCGCAGAAGCCGTCCCGCGTCGCGCACTGCAGGGCGCGGTGCGCGAAGTTGGGTGGCCTGGCACTCCCTTACAGTCGGGGCGCTGAAGAAGGGGGCTTTTCGACGAAAAACAAAAAATACCCCCAAAATAATCAAAACATAGACCACAAATAGTCGGCGGACTTTTCGTTGGGGAGGGGCTCGGCGCTCCTTGACAGTTGTGCAGTCTGCCTCAGGTTTCCCGGAGGTTTTCCATGGGGTATCGAAGATCAAGTTTGGGGAAAAAGGGGCCTCGTTACCTGTCCAGGGCTCCTTCAGGTCCGCGCCCCGACTGCACTTTGCCCTCCGCCCGCCCCGCCGGAGGTCGTCGGCATCTTCGCCGGCCTGCTGGGCCTCATCGGCACGGCCACCCCCCCCCGCCCCGCCCGCCCACCGAGCCCCCACGGGACGGCGGGGGAGGGCCACCGAAGGGTCCCAGGGTGTTGCCAGAAGTGGTCCGGGCCCAGGGTGCCCCCCCCGGCATCTCCCGCCATGCTGGCGCCTCTCGGGCCCTCCTTGGGCCCCTCCCCCCGGGCATGCTCGCGCCGCGACGCCCCAAGACTCACGACCTGGAGGCTTCGTGGCTTCGTTGGCCGCGCCTATGGCGGGCCCTCGATGGGCCCAGCTCATCTCCAGGCATGCTCGCGCCGTGGCACACGGAATCGCGAAGGGAGGCTCCGTGGGCCGTATATGGCCCCCGGGGGCCCTCGCCCGCGGGCCCGCTGGACCCATCCCCAGGCGTGCCCCGCGCCGCGGCACCACAGACCACGACGGGGGGCCGCGCGTAATTAGGGCCCCCCCAAAGGGGGGCCCGCGTCCGGGCCCCCCGCGGACATTGTCCACGACGTCGGCTCGGGACGATCGGCAGGCCCCGGCGAAGGGGGCCCAGGTCTCCTTTCGGGGGGGTCCCTGCTGCGAGCAGCAAGGAGAAAAGGCGCGCACGGCACGGCGGAGCTCCGGGGCGCGGAGGGGCCTGCAGGGGCCCCTGCGGCGCCTCCCTGGGGAAGCTTGGGCACAGGCCCGGACCAGGGCCGCCGCGCACAGGAGGAGGAGGAGGAGGAGGAGGAGGAGGAGGAGGAGGAGGAGGAGGCGGAGGAGGAGGAGGAGGCGGAGGAGGAGGCGGACCAGTGGAGACCCAAGAGCCATCAACGATGTTGGAATTAGCCATCCCTCCCAGTTCCCTCTTCATAGGCCCCATACAACGGTTCATTTCCACGGAGGGAGCTGCCTCGCTGGACGACAACAGTCTGAAGATCCTGAAGCGTGCCAAAACATTGTTCTTGGGATTTCAACGCCACGTGTGAACCTGACTGCTGCGTCTTGAACGCCAGTTTTGGGACTTCAACACAGCGAATCACCATAACTGCTGCGCCCGCATAATCATGAATCCTTCCAAAACATGATTTCTGGTACGTTGACCATGGGAAGCCGTGAAACCCTTATAAATGTTTAGAAGAATGTGCGCGGCGCCATGGCGAGAGCCACATTTTGAAGAGGAACTGCCCTCGATCTTAGAAGCTCTTGCAATTTGTTTAAACGAATGTGCGCGGCGATATGGCCGTGAAACTTTTGCAGTTGTTTGAAACGAATGCGCGCGGCGCTTCGGCGAGAGCCACGTTTTGAAAACGACCCGCCCTCAATCCGTGAAACTCTTGCGATTTGTTAGAACGAAGGCGCGCGGCGCTAAGGCGAGAGCCACATGTTGAAATCGATAGCTACAATGCTCCGCAGGTGTACTGACTGTTCGACGTGTTTTTCTCATGGCTTCGACGGGAAGCTCAATTCTGGAGTGAGTCAGTTCTGTAGTCGATCCCCTGCTCGAAAGGTTGGACGCCGCCGGTGGCCCGGCATCGGCCAGTGTGAGACGGTCCGGCGACGGAAAGGCCGCCGCTCGTTCGACCGTGTTTTCCGTCTTCGGTTTTCTCTGTCTTCGTTGTTTTCGCTTGTTTCGTTTTTTTTTTTTTTTTTTTTTTTTTTTTTTTTCTCCGGTTTGTTCTGTCTTCCGGTTTCTTCTGTCTTCGTGGTTTTCACCAAATAGGCTTGCCCTATAGGAGTCCTAGCTCATCATAAGTAGTTGGTCTTTAGGACCTCCCCTCCCTTTTTCTCTGTCTTCGTTGTTTTCGCTTGTTTCGGTGTTTTCTTTGTTTTTTCCGGTCTGTTCTGTCTTCCGGTTTCTTCTGTCCTCGTGGTTTTCACCAAATAGGCTTGCCCTATAGGAGTCCTAGCTCATCATAAGTAGTTGATCTTTAGGACCTCCCCCCCCCCTTTTTCCAATGGCACCCCCCTTATTGCGAAGGCCTCACGGCCGGTGCCGCCGACCCTGAAGGGAGACGAGAACGACGACGACGACGACGACGACGACGACGACGACGACGACGACGACGACGACGACGACGACAACGGCGGCGGCGGCGGCAACGACGACGTCGCTGACGTGGGCCAGAATCCTCAGGGCTGGTTCTTGGGATCTCTTCGGAAGTCTCTCGGGGGCCTCTGGGTAGGAATATGTAGGAATTGTGGGCCCCCCCCCTCATTTCCAATGGCACCCCCCTCCCCCACCCTTTTTCCAATGGCCCCCCCTTATATATGCTTGCTTGCTTGCTTGCGCGCTTGCTTGCTTGCTTGCGCGCTTCCTTGCACGCTTGCTTGCTGGGTTGCGGATTCCATGCATGCTCGATTCCTCTGATTCCTTGATTTGGGTCGTCTAACCTATTTGGAGTCAACGCTGGCTGATATTCTGGCTTTCTTTGGGTTTTGTTTGTGTTGAGCGATCAACGCGGTGTCAGGAACCGACGCCGGGGTCGCCACGGCACGAGCCTGGCCGTGCACAGAGAGAGACTCGTCGCCGGGCCAGGCACCCAGGAGTGGGGCTCGCAGCACGTGCGCAGCGGGAAAAAAGCGGGGTCGGCCGCGTGGACAGTTCGGCCACGCACAGAAGGGGGGCAGGGGGAGGGGGGGAGGCTTCTCAGAAGCACCCCTGCTTGTTAGAAGGCGCGGACCTTCTCTGTAGATGCAAGGCCGGCGCCTGCTAAGAAGCAGCCTTCTTCTGAGAAGCCCGCCCCCCTCCCCCTACCCCATTGTGCGCGCCGTACATTGGCGCGTGAGTTGCCCGCGTAAGGTCGCGCGTAAGGCGCCCTCTTCTTCACCCGGTGTGCCACGCTGGCGGTCCACGCACGCCGCGGCGTGAGGTCGCAGATGTCCTCTCGCGCAGGTCCCGTGTCCTTTCTGCGCTCGGGTGGCGGTTCCAGCATGATCCCCGAGGGGATTCTCCGCGAGGGCCCCCAAGGATGATCCTCTGAGGGCCTCTCGTCCCATGCCCCTCTTTTCCTCCCTCCGTCTCCCTCCACTTTGCCCTCGCTGGCCTGCTCGATCGTTCTTCCCTTGGGCTGCAGAGGTGCCGTGCGTCAATAGAAGGTTTGCGAAATCTGCCGTATGCCCACCACGCCACGTGCGCCATCGGGCACTATTGCTGCTTCCAGCGGGGGGAGGTGGAGGGTAGGGGGGGCAGGTGGAAAGGGCCCGGGGGAAGGCGGGGGGGGGGGGGCGGGGCGAACGTCGCCATCAAGGGAGGGGCCCCCACAGGAAACGGGCTACCGATTTTCCCGCCGCTGGCGGCACCGTCCAGAACCGCCGCAGCATGAAGAGACGGTCCCTGGGGGAACGCGGGGGAGGGCGGCGTCGGGGAGCCGTTTCCGTGCGGGCCCGTTTTTCCCTCCGGCCCCTGGCCTCTGGGGCGGGGCGGGGCACAGGCCCCGCAGCCCCTGCACCGCCCACCGGGCGTCGGGTGCCCGCTCCGGCCCAGGATCCCGCGGTTTCGCCACAGGCGCAGGCGGCATGTTGCCCATCCACCAGCGACACCAGGTCGAGGTTGCCCCGATGAGCCAGCAACCTTCAATTCGCCCCCCCTCAGGAGGAGAGGAGGGGGGAGGAGGAGGAGGAGGAGGAGGAGGCCGGGGTTGTAAGGGAAATTCGCTGCAGCGTAGTTGAGCATGTAAGTCTCGCAGTAAGTAGTGTGGATCGCCTCGGGAGTCATCTGAAGGGTCGGGTCGTTGTGGATGTCGTTGATGAGCCTTTGGATTCTGCGCTTTGTCGTGCTAGCTGTCGCTCCATGTGTTGTTGCCTTACGGAGGAGCTTCATGAACTTCCGTCGGCTGAGGACAAAGTCGAGCGTGGTCTCTGAACACACACTGCGGCACGGGTTTTTACAACACGTACGGCACTGGATCGACGCCACGAGAAAAGTAATCGTCAAGATGACCGGCAGGGACTACGACGCGTTCTTGGAAGAGCAAGCACAAAAGGCAATGGACGCAAAGCGCACTGGCGACACGCACACCGAGTGGAAGTACACCAAGAAGCTCCTGCTATTCGGCGGCCGCAAGAGACGTAAGCGGCAAGCATACCCCATGATGAACGCAGCAGACGGTACTGTCCTCGACAGTTCCACGAGCAAGGCTGACGCAGCCACACGACACTTCGGACACAACGAAGCAGCCGACATCCTCTCCGCTCAGGACGTGGTTGACAGATACAACGCCAAGGAGGACAGGACCGACCCAGCTCAGCCCAGGAGAACGCGCCACGTCAACAACTTCGCCAGCATCTACGAGCTCACCGACATCCTTCACAAAGCGAGACCTCACCGCGCACCAGGACCAGATCGCGTATCCGACGACTTCTCCAAGATCGCCCCACGGCAGATGGCCCGACACATGCATCCGATCATCACCAAAGCGGCGCTCTTCTGCAGGGAGGGCGTAGCTCTCAAGGGGTCCAGGATGACGTACTTCTGGAAGGGCAAGGGCAGCGAGGAGGACCTGAACAACCAGCGGTCAATCACGTTAGCCAACACCGTCATCAAGCACCACTACAGATACATCAGACAATGCATGAAGGACCTCATCCCCACGATGCTCTTCTCCACTCAGACGGGAGGTCGACACCACTACAGCACGGACATCAACCACATGACGATGCGGCTCCTATCCAACACCGCCTACCACGTGAAGCACGACATGGTCATCATCATGATAGACTTGAAAGCAGCCTTCCACAAGGTAGTCAACCAGCTCGTGTACAACTTCACCCAGACCAAGGAGCAGCTGGACGACCTTCTCGCCCACATCGACATCCCCCATGTCATGCTTCCCGCGATTGAGGCCCTCATGACCGACAACGGTATCGTCAACCAACACGTGGACAACCAACACATTGTCGACATGCTCACGGAGGCACACACTGGGACTTGGTTCTATATCGACGACCAGTGCAGCTACGCAGCACCACGACTTGGTACACGCCCTGGCGTACCAACAGCCGACTTCACATTCAACATGCTCATGGCGGACGTCACGCGAGACTACCAC